GCTTCCATGTTTAAACAGGTCTTTTAGCACGTGCGTTTTCTGAACTGACTAATGAAAAGATTCAATGGGAATAAAACATTTCTTGAAGTTTCTGTAAAGAACACATTTCATAATAATTCAGACAGTTGGTGATAATTAATACAAAATTTACTAAAGTCACAACTTTTGATATTTCACAATATATTAATCTGCAGAAGTCACGAACTACGTGCATTAAATAAATTCATTGTGTGATTAATCGATGGATGTCACGAGCCAACAACAATTTAATATACAAATGGCTACAATAACGACTTCATTGTAGACCCATTAACGACACTTCTGATTGGCAGCTTCATTGGTCTCTTATAAATGACCTATGACCCATGTCAATATCGTGACGTATGATATCTGTGAGTGCAACATTTGCAGTATTGACCAGGCTTAACGGCCGTGATGGATTATTGATGAGTTCAGACCAATCAAATTCTCTTTAACAATTACTCAGAAGGAAACGCAGACATCATATGCCAGTATTCTAGCCATATCTTGCCATGCGAATATGTACCGGTTTATAGACTCTGTTAGGAATGTCGGCTTTAGTACAGTGTGACGTGTCTGAATTTAGCTATCGTTTTGTAATACGGGATGTTTTGACCTTTGTACCTTCTATAGATGCACGACGTGCACTTGATTGTTGTTTATTCACAATACAATTGTCGCTTAAAGATGGAGTACACTTGCTCTTCGAGAAGTAGAACACACATTACACATAAAATCTGGGGTCCGATTCACCCATGTTGGAGGTCTGTGGTGGCGCTTGGGATGTTGACAAGGAACATGTGTCTGAACGTGGTTGCCACGTACAATATTGGGTAGTGCAAAAAATGCTCCTTATGCAGGAGATGGCAGAAAGGTCGCTGTCCCGGCAAAACTCGCCACATCGTATTGCACACGGTATCAGAGAAATATTAGTAGATTGTCGATGAGATTTTAAAACTCATTACTCTAAAATTGAACAGAAATACACATCTTTCATGAGTCTGTCCCAGATTTAATATCGGGACATATCGTGTCATAGGTTGGTGGGAAATTATGATAGACGAAACAGAAAAAAAAACAATACAAACAAATCAAACAGAATCATCAACTGTTTCTAGTTTAGAACATGTATATGGAGTTTTGCGAAATTTGTTTGTTTATATCACATTATGAAACAACAAATGATTTAATAAGTCGGTGTGTCTGACACAGCGTGGAATGCTAATACGTTTTTATCGCAGACCAATTAGTTAGCACATTAATGAAGCACACAATTCATAAAAAAAACAACCGAAGAATAGCTCATTTGCTTTGGCCAAGCATCTAACTTCTTGGGTTGAAATATGGTCCGGGTTTTCCCGATGGGAACAATTTGCCATCTCATCTGGCAGAAGATACGCATACATAGAGTTTCAGTCTGAATTGTGAGAAAGGCGAATCGAAAGTAGAGATCTGTAGACTACAGGTAGTCGAAGATTATACGGTCATTGATTCGATCCCAGTCCTGTATGGGACACGGGATCTCCTCCTTTATTATAATGTTAGTCTCGAATTGACCCTAGTTAGTGTTGAGTGGAATCTCTCTCTCTCTCTCTCTCCCTCTCCCTCTCCCTCTCCCCCCCCCCCTATTACCGCCGTCCAGTGCCTATATCTTTAATGATCCACCATAGTGAAAATGTCTAGACTGACCAGTTTTACCAATTAATTATAAGAAATAGCATCAGCTGTGTATGAAATATGTCACAGTAGGAGAGAGTATAAGATGGTAGTAGATCATGATTAGACGACTACACGGAAATCAATAAATAAGAAATAAAGTATCCATTGTACGCCTATGATCAATCTCGTGATGGGCACCCTACAGACAGAACGTCGGTAGTCTCTTACCATGCCGACTTTTAATAACAGATTAGCTTAATCCTGTCCAGTAAGATATAACTCCTAGGGATAAATAAAACAATAAAATCGGAGCAATTTCTGAATTTATACACCGAATCGATCTAACCCTAAGTCCCACCTCGTTACCTACTAAATCGGCCATAGGCCACGAATAGAAAGATTACAAAATTATATTCTAATACAGGAGATTTTACTTTTCCTAATTATTGTGTACGATATCACTGTAAATCGGACAAATCCTGGTATGTTATAGCCTAGGGATCTAATTAAATGACGCGTCTTATTGATTATATGGCTGTCCTACCATAAGATAAATGAAAAAAAAAATAATGTTGGTAATTATTATTAAAGAAATGCCACTAAATTGCCAATTAAAATATAGAAGTTAAAAAAAAAAGTTATTAATGTTTCGTGTATAAACAATTACGGGCATACTATAATACAAGGAACAGAATACGACGTCTTAGCCGCTATTTCAGAATTGTGACGTCATATCAATAATACAAAAGAACAGTAGAGAATTTACTAAAAACATAATTCAACCGAAAAAGAGAATTTTTTATGTCATTAAGAAAGGCTGTACAGTTATTGTTATCAAAATGCTAAAGATTTAAAAATAGAATAATGAAATGTGTAATTCTTATTGGCACGTTGCCTCTTAGAACTAGCGTAAAACTCTGGATTTCTCAGAAGGATATATGATCAGGAATATCGACCCAGGTTCCAGTTAGGTTTCTATTTAATCTCTAGAACTTTACTCATTGAGGGGAGTTAATATTGTTCCAATTGGTCAGTGTCGAGACAATAAAACCAGCTAACCTTAAATTATTGATGATTATATAGAAAGTCTCATTTAGAGATAGCAACGTCTCGTTTAATGTCGACAAGAACACTTCGAGGTATGGATATGTCCTTTCACGGGCGTCGTTCAAAATCACTCATGACCAGGACTGTAGATTAAAGATCCTGGAATTTGGGTAGGAAGGGGGAAATGGGGGGCAAACCGCGGCTGGCCATCCCCGATGGATTTACCAAAGTTTTGAAACTTTTAACGAAGTTCTACGCGGGACCCCCTGACGAGCAATGTAATTAGAGCAATGTATTTCACACGAAAAGTTTACTGTATATGTATCTATTGTCAGTTTCCCAGACTGACATTTGAATACTTGATTCAGTATGAAATAATGTAGTTGCTTTAGGGACGGACGTCTGATCGGACGTTGTCCTTTGACCGTTCCTGTTCATCCCCATTGAGCTGCAATATGAAAATAACACTCTACCCCTCTCTCTGTTCTAAGGCTAATTTGGAATCCTTACTTTTCACCGTGATTCTTCTGTTTTCACCAAAAGGAATCATTTCTCGTCACATCTGACTCAAATTTATAATAATTCAACACTATTTTCAAGTAGAATTTTGCGATTCAAAAACACAAACAAACAAAAATACTTTTGGTGCGCCATTATGAAACTCGCATTTGCGATTCGTGGCTAAATTGCACAATGCTACTTGAAAATAGTGTTGAGTTATTATAAATATGATTCATTATGAGCTTTGATTCAATATGAAATAATGTGTCTATGATTTTAGTTTGACGTGTCTATGATATTATTTTTCCAGCCAATTACGTATAGTAGGCTACAACCTTTTTATTTTGTATATTTAGTTATCCAGAGGTGATATTAATTATTTTAGAACCGATGGTGCTGATGTTTTAATTGTGTCCTGATTATGATAATGTTTTAATTGTGCCCTGATTAGGATAATGTTTTAACTTTGTCCTTAATTGAGATAATGTTTATGAGTTTATCGAAATTTATTTTAAATCATTTGACATCAAATTCGTAAGAAAATATCAACTCTGTTTTCGAGTGTGATATCTTTTTTATTTTATGGTCAACTAACGTAGATAATAAAGTGATCTATCCCAGAGACATCTAGAGACAAGAAACCATTATAATAATACCCTTGTTATTTTCTATAATAATATACTCTAGCCGGATAGATTATTCTCAATGAGTGGACTGACTTAAATAGCCTTTGTTCAACCCCTTTCAAATACTTTATGACCAGAAAGGTCCATAGACATCCAATCCATTCTACTTGGCGGCTCAGATAAAAAGAATAGCCTCGGGTCTACATCGTGTGCTGCGAAAGAACACTGCCGTTGTCGTTAAACCGTTATTAATTTCTCGATTGATTAGTTAATTCATCGTCAACAAATTGTCTTGACTTTCTTCGTATTCCTTTCATCTGATTGCTTTGCGTGTTAAAACGCAAAAACCAGTTTCTTTGGCTTAAGTATCTTTTTAGTGTAATGGTCAGCTGTTTTCTTTGAGTGGAGAGAATCGATTGTGGATTATCTCGAATGTAGAGATTTTATTGCTCTGTTACCCTGTTCATTTATTAGCTTTTTTAAAGTACGAGTGATCTGAATACATCTGAAAGGATCAGACATTTTGTCGGTTGCTGCGGGAACCCAATTGTGGATTATCGTGAATTATTTAAAACGACAAACTAGACGATCATTATATGTTATACAATTGTACCGGTATTTATATTAACTTTCCATTCAGCATTATTGAAAGTAACTTTTTCTGTGGTTATGCCGTATTTCAGAGAAGTTTTACAATGATGGATACGAAGTACATATAAAGAGATTTGTCGTTTCAGAGCAAAATGGCCATTTGTTTTCCATGTTTTGGCTTGAATGTCCATGGCTCATTAGATATGGTCTATCTTTATATTGTTTTTTAATGTTCGCTTGGAAAGCAACGAATACCGACCTGTTTAACCCTTTCAAAACTAAATCTTTCATGAGAGAAAAGATATATTGAATATGTAGCGATATATTTTCACATATCACATAACGACCAGCGCACAATCTACAAGATGTTCTGATACCCGGTCTCAGTTAAAGACTAGCAGTCAAATCGGTGGTGTTACCATACTAGCGCTATTTAGTTCCGTATTAACATGAAGATATTTTACAGACTAACGAACTTTATTTACCAGCGATGGTTTGTCGAGCTCTACTATTATTATTATCTATAAGTTAATGATTTTTTATGTATATTTTCAGATGCACAGGTCAAAGAAGATTAATATCGGGGACGTGAACCCTCACTTACTGTGTGTATTGTGTGGGGGGTATTTTGTAGAGGCTACCACCATCATAGAATGTCTACATTCTTGTAAGTTTAAATTTAAAAACATCTTATTGTTTGGAATATTGAATGAATGAAAAATTCCGAAAACAGTTCATTTTTTTTAAATTTGAAGTGGGAATGATAATTGGTTAACTTTAACAATAACAATATTATTTAATGGCACTGAATTCTTAAATAACTTTGTAAATTGGTAATGGAATGGAGTAGGGTTTAACGTCCGCTTCCACCGAGGGTGAAAAGTTATCTTATTGTGGGAGGAAACGGAGTACCCAGAGTAAACCCACGAGGTTAAGAAGGCGTCCCTATCTGCAAGCCTCATACGCTCCTCACACCAGGGATCAAAACGACCGCAAGCCAATGGTGACCGGCCAGCTAGAGATCGTAGCGCGACACTCTAGGCCATTACCCCCCCCCCCTCCCGACCCACACGCACACACACACACCCACACCCCCACACCCACCCACCACCACTTTGATTAAAAACCTCTTGGAATGGGTAAACCAGTGCTCTATCCACTAAGCCACCGTGGGTCCTCTGTAAATTGGAAAATAATTGTTGTTAAAAGAAAGAAGATGTATATTGTTATAAGTATTGTATTGTATATATAGAGAACAGTGAATGAAATGTATTTTTTTTTTATTTTTCTATAGTTTGTAAAACGTGTTTGATACGTTACCTAGAGACGAACAAAACATGTCCGATGTGTGACGTACTGATACATAAAACACGGCCACATCAAAATATACGGTAAATTTAACTTAATATAATTTATTTATTGATTCTGAATCTCGAGACCGACTTCATAGATTAATCACTTATTCAACTTCACGTACTTTCTATATACGTTACTGATCAAAACGAACCCTCGAGATTTAAGGAGATTATAGGCGAAATCGTCGTTGCCCATGCAAGACTCGTCGATGTTACCTTAAAGTTACAGTAATCAATAAATACAATAAATTATTAATCTCAATGTTTGGATATGTATTCTTTAAAGACAATTGTTATAAAATATTGCAGATCTGATAAAACGTTACAAGATATAGTTTATAAACTAGTACCGGGTCTGTATAAAAGTAAGTATACGTTATTTATTTAATGCTTGTACTAAAGGGGTATATGTACGATTTAGATAAAGAACTGGCCTTTCTTGCTATAATATTTCAAAAATAGATAATGCAAAATGAATATATTGAAAATTTCATTCAAGTTTCTTTATTTTGAGCGAAGTTATCAGTGATTGTAGTTTTGACAAGATATGTGCATTGATCGTAACCACCGTACTGGTCATTTGAGTCTTAGCCTCGCTTCTCCATTTTTAAATTAAATGATTAAATGGCTAAACCGTTCTAATCTACTTAAACTCGGAGCCATCCGATGGCACAGAGAGTTTATTATGGTCTTTTATGTTAATAAATGTCTAATTAATAATTTATATAGCATTTAACGCCCAAAGAAAAACCTGCAATAGACATATTTAGCTCTCACATAATGCCTTTTTAACGGTTGATGTAGTCGTCGTCGTTTGTTCGAATCCAGACATTCCACATCCGTAGTAACGCCGTTGGTCATGTGACATGGTAAAATTTATTAACTATTGGTTATGATTGGTTCCATCCAGGTTTGTGGAGTCGTGGTTTTTCTCCATATACTCACGCTTCTACGGACCTCTTTTCATAATCGAAGTGTTGAGGGGTAGACAGTGTCTTTAAAATATTTTCTCAGCATTAACAATGAACTCTAGACTTGTGTGATTATAAATATTTCACACTCATTTCCTGTGTGATAGCGACTAATATGGCATATTGTCTTTGTCACATAAACTTTTTTCGTGTAAATATAGTTTGCAGGATGACATTAACATTTCCATTCGTTAGAACAAGAATGTTCATTAGTTATTTTGCATCTCCATAGCCACATTTGTGTACACATAGAATAAGAAACATTTATAAGTATGCATTTGTATTAAATGAACATCACATATTGTTATTCAGATGAAATGAAGAGAAGAAGAGACTTTTACAGTCAATATCCTAATAAAGGTATATATTTTCTTTTCTTAACGACACAATACGCCAGCTTGTTTACATGTACCTTAAACCTATTAGAATATAATTATATACTTATTTAATGGCAGCTGTTATTATGTAATAATAATGACGGAAAATGGGCTGGTGGACTCGCATAAAGATAACTGTGCAAAATCCATCTAACAGTTGGATTGATGGATTTGACCAAGATCTTTTTGATCGTGTGTCGTGATTTTAAATTGTATATTGTAACCGCCATAATTTAAACTTACTGTCGATTATGTTCCAGAATCCATACACATAGTACTACTTTCAGTGTGAAAAATATACCATAGAAATATGAGAATTTCCTTTCCTTACACAATACTAATCAATCTAATCCTATTTCGTTTCGTCATTTAATAGTCCAAGTATAAATAAACGAAACGAAATTTAGATGTATATTTTTATCAGGTTGAAATAGTAGTTTTAGCAGTACAGACAGAAAGAAAGAACAGAATACAATTCTTCCATTGCTATTACCATTTTTCTGATCTCTTGTATAGCGTGCAACTCTCGCAGGCATGCATTCAGCTATGAAATTACTTTCCTCGCCTCTTGGTCTACAGAATACAGAAATTTGATTAAAGCCACATTGCCCCTCACCCTATCGTCTATGAAATTAATATTCATAAAAAGATTCTGACACCCTGGTGTTGCTTTAACCTTTAGCGTGTTCAGAACAAGATTTCTGCAATACTTTCACGCTCGCCTATTCTGTTAGTATTGATCCGTATTCTTAAGACTAGCTCGTGTCACGTGAAGACACAAGCCTCGGTATAACATGTCACGTGTCTATATGAAGAACGTGATTAGAGGCTATTATGTCGCTTGTGTAATAAAGAAGTTTTACGGATTAGTTGGCATGATGTTGTGAATCAAAGATAAGAGGCTTTCTTTTCAAGTGAAAACATCTTTCCTTCGCTTTATATATATATTTAGCTCAGTTGCACTGGTGGTGTCTTGGGGTGAAATTAAATTTTGGCCAGTGTGGAAGCGGACGTAAATCCCTAGTAATAGTAATCCGGGCTTTTACTCAGAACCCTTAAATATTCCAAGCTCACCGATTATTACACCATTTCTTCTGGTTACATATTAATATTTAATTTTAAGGAGTGGGAACGATATATTCGTGCACAGTGGCGGACTGGGTCTGAAATATTGGCTGCAAGGAGACAAAGGGGGCCCACCCACCAATACAATTCTATCATGTAATTTTTAAAATGAATAAATTAAATTTTCAAAAAGTATGTAAGTGGAAACAAATAGATGTAATTAGAATTTTCCCGATTTTGTTTTCTTTATATTTTTTTTATAATTTATATTTTAAATATATTGTGTAATATCTAAAGGCGGGGAGGGGGGGGGGCACTTACTCAGGCGCCCCATTTGCCATTGGGCAAGCTGACTACTTAGGCATTTCACCCGTACTCATGTCAACAAAAAACAAGTCATATATCATAATTTCAGTCTTAAAGGGAGAAAAAATAAAATGGGCTTAACGTGTTACGCAGGACGGAGGGCCTGACAAGGACAGCTGTCTAGTCGTTCGGATGGGACGAAAAACCGAGGTCCCGTGTACATATTGGCGTGCACGTAAAAGATCCCTTGGCAGTTGGAATTCGATATAAGAGTAGGCCGTAGCGCAGCTGCCCAGGCAAAATTTCCCTCATACCACACTGTATGGCGTATGCCCGTCTTCATGAGGAAATTTTAGTGAACCATACCGAGCCAAAATGGCTTCCTAAAATGAGAAGCCCAATTTGGCAAATGAGACCCTCCACCCTTATTTTTCTTATTAAAAATTGATAAACGAATGAATACATTATTATATTTATAGGAAATGTTAAAACACCGAGTGAAGACAGAGGGGACGAAATGGCTGAAAGATTTATTTTTACAGAAAACGAGAAAATAAGTTTAGCTTTAGAATACTGGACAGAGTAAGTTCTTTTAGATGATTTACAATACTTGGATCCCACATCCGGGATTTCCACAAGTTTGTCTATTGGGATAATAAGTGAAAGACCATGATGCACTGTCTCTGCATTCGTGTCGTATTCACTGTAATAACGAGTTTACAACTTGGAAATAACTCTCCGGTCATTTTATAAGTCACATTTCTATACTTGTCAAATCAATGGTTCGGTTAACACAGAAAGTTGTAAATATAAAATACTACTTGTAACGTGATTAGAGTGCTATGTTCAAGGTCGAACCGGTATTTACCGTGAATACGACATGATTGGAACCAAGTATTACCTACACCACAGGAGATGGAATAGTCGACACAATATAACAAAATCGTTGCCAAACTCTTATTCAAATTAAGCCATATGTTAATGTGTTTCTATTCTGCTGGCTTTATAAATACTAATTATAGGTCTGAATCCTAATGATATTGTCTCTTTTTAGGGGAATTCCCGATAGTCCAGAATTTCAGAAAGTCTCAAAAAAGGAAATGGGAGGCGAAGACGGCAAAACTCAGGTACACAGGACACAATTCAGTTGAAAACAATTACTTTTATAACTGAGCGACGTTTCGACAAGGATTCTTTAGGCTTTATCAAGCAACTAATACAATAATAAACAAAAATGACTGGGGCATTACATACATGTAAACAACATTAGCAACTAGTTACTTAATAATGGCCAATCAGTATCGGGGCCAAAATTTGCCTTGAAGCTAACCTAAATTTAATAATGTAAAAATATTATGAAGATGACCAAAGTTGATCCCGGTAATGCAAAACATTTTGTAATACCAACGTCATTTCTCAAGTTTTATCTTTTAACAATAAAAATAATTAAGCTATTTTGATATTTTTTCTAGAAGAGAGATATTAGATATTTACAATGTCCTGGTGCTCTAACTGTTGCCCACTTGAAGAAATTCATCAGATTAAAATTTGAATTACCACATAGATGTCGGGTGAGTTGAATACGTCCAGAGCTAGTTATTTGCTATTTCTTAAAGGGATATACAGTTTTCTTGTAAATATCTCCATTCAATGAGTATTAGATAATAATCTGTTTATGAAATATAATATCCTGTGTTTGATTATTTGTGTGAATAACACCCTGTTGTGTTGTGTTATGTCTTCTTAACACGTCATCATTTAATCCGGTTCCCACCGAGAGAGCGGTAACGAGGGTAACGCCCAGACTCCATCCTCGCAAAACCCGAACTCTTCAATGCATTTATTGTAGTCATTTGATTTCTGTTGAACAATTGTGCAATTATGTCGCCGATATGATTTTTCCCGCATCTGTGATTTGGGGAGGTCGCCAGTATTGTTTATAGATATCGTGACTATAAACATTATGAATGGTTGTTTTAATAAGACCTGTTTATCCGGACTTCATAATCGGTAGACTAATACATCCAGGCTTACAACAGATAACGCATCAGTTATGTCAGGGCTACGAGCATTGAAGAACCCTTTTTACTTGAAATTTTCGTGTACATTGTGTGTGACGCAAAGTCGCGTTTCGGTGCACATGTCCATGTCAGCCCGTAAGCGTTAACCTTGACAGGCGGGTATCGAGCGTCACAATTGGAAGGTTCTTCAAGGCTCATCGAACCGGTGGACATCCCGGTTGTAGGTCCAGTGTTATAAACACACAGTGAAACGACAATACAGTCCGAGCAAGTCGTCTGTGGCAAATGATGGAACTACTGCAGTGACAAGACGTTCAACCCCATTTATTTCCTCTCATTAAGTCCGATATTTAAGTTGCTGTTGGGTGTAACTTGAAGGACATACTGCAAGACATCCATGCCATTGATGATTGCAATTCAACCGTATATATGCTGGAACGACTTGTGTGTTAAACGATTCTATATGTTTTACTTTCAGATTGATATGTATCATAAGAAAGAGATAGTTTCCGATTATTATACCTTGTTGGATATAGCATGTATATTCTCCTGGAAAAGAGTAAGTATATCTCATGCTTGAATCCGCTATGATCCCAATATATTAATTCATTATTATTAATTTAACAGCCAATTCTCAGTTACAACGAGAAGCATTCACTGTAACTAGGGGGGTTGGTTGGCTGAGTGGTTAGCGTGAGCGCGCTGTATCATAAAGTCTGTCATTGAGTCGACTGGCGTGGTTTCGAATCCCCGGTTGTACGTGACAAGGAGTAGGGTCGCCTGTCCTACCTCGTGGGGTTTTTCCGGGTTCTCCGGTTTCCTCCCACTGCTAAAGACCCCTACGCGGAAGCGAATTATAGAAATAAAATTAAACCATATGTTAGTCCCGAAATGACCTAGTTTGTGTCGAGTGGACGTTAAACCCCATTTCTCTCTCTCTCTCTCTCTCTCTCTCTCTCTCTCTCTCTCTCTCTCTCTCTCTCACTGTAACTACTGGTCGCCGGAAGAAAAATATACCAATATTTCTTTTCTTTTCGTTTTAATGTTCGGATCATTAATCCTCTTCATCTTGGCTGAAAATGTTTCTCAACCTAGCAATCGGAATCCGTGAAATCTATTGAAAGCCTTTGATTATCGACACAATTGATTGGTTGTCTAATCAAGGTCAAAGATATTATTATTCTGTCGTCGCAGTCCCAGAATAGGCATTTCTTTAAGCGTGTCTTTAGATGCCGTTTCAGAGACAAACCGACTAAGGTGAACGAAAAATAACATTTCATTGTAATTTGTTAGAGAAATCGTGGTCCAAATACTGAGGAATCTAGTTGATACCGCTGAAGTACCCGTAATCCCTGGTCACCGTTTATGAGATCAATTGATGTTAAGTAAAACAAAATGTCAAAACCGGGCGATAATGATCTCATATTATTAAATGAATAGAGATGTCAATGTGCACACCATTCCTCATACAAGACACCCGCCATTCCTTACAGCTAAAAAATGTTTTTTTCTGTCTGTTTCAGTTGGAACCTCTGCGTCTGTATTACACTATTTATGAGAATATTATCACAAAACGAAAAATAGGAGAGTTAGAGACAAATTCTGTGGATGTTGATGAACCTAAACCTAAAACAGTTGCTACTAAAGACACAGCACCGAAAATACCAACTGGGGAGGTTAGAAAGCCAACGGAAACAGTCGGAATTTCATCAGAGCACAAGTTCCTCACGCCTAAATCTACCAAAGAATGGAATACTCAATCTAATAAATCAGCTAACCAACAGGCTCCTGTCTTAGAACCATTAAAATCATCCAATCAGCAAGCTTCCATCAAAGATTTAACCAAAATAAACAACAAACAACCCACGAATACAGATTCATACAAAACGGCCGATACACAAACCCCAATTAGAGAATCGCCAAAACCAACCCAGAACCAATCAGAAAAGACAGTAAGTACAGTACCGCAGATATCAAAAGTTTCCAATTCTTATATCAAAGCATCAGCGCAAAACGCTGCCAAAGCAGCGCCCACGAAGAGAGCTAATCAGCAACCAACAAAGATCGCACCAAAAGTGTCCAACAATCAGCAAGCTGGGAAAGAAACCAATCAACAAACAGAATTAAAATCACAACCGAATCCGCAGTCATCTAAGATTATAGTCACAGAGAAATCGGCCAATCCACAAACAGTGAGGATGCTAGTCAACAACAAGGCCGCCATTAACCAAATGATGAATGTTCATCAGACCAACATGCCAAATTATCCTAGTCCCCGAACACAGAATACTCAAACGACACAAACCAAACAACAGAATCAAGCGCAACTTACAACCTCACAACAGTCAACTAATAATAACAATAACAAAAAGACTGTTTTAACCAATCCAAATTCGCCTACTATTCAAAGCATAAAATCTTGCCAATCGCAAGTCTCTAAACAAACGAAACCAACGGTTAATACCATGACTGTGTCGTCACCAAACGTAAACGGCTCTAATGACAATGTCGTAAAACAAAATGGCGGAGAAATGACAAAATCCAACGCACCCGTATACAAAGCGTTATCAAAAGACTTAAACGGGATAAAAAGGGGAAGTGCGTTTGATATGAAAACAATCCCCGATGGTGCTGTGATCCGAAGTGTGAGACCACCATTTAACACTTCTCAGAGCATTGAGCGTCAAAATAGTGCTACAAAAAACACTCTGATGGACAATTCTCTTAAAAAGACTGTTGATACCCCAGTTGTTGAAAAACAAAATAAAAACACTGCCGATGTTAAAAAATCAGAACCAAAAGTCAATGGAGATCCAACTCCCACAATTCCCAAAATCAACGGTACTCAACAGCAATCAACCCAGATCAATGACGGTACAAGGCCTCAGACCCTAAAAGTCAATGGTGGTTCAAGACCTTCAACTCCCAAATTGAATAATGGATCAAGACCATCGACTCCCAAGTTACCGGGAAATTCCCGGCCGTCAACCCCTAAATTAAACGGGAGTTCACGACCTCCGACCCCAAAAGCTAATGGCGGATCGCGACCCTCAACCCCAAAATTAAATGGAGACGTCAGGAGCTTTAAGCCGATAGCGCCCAAGTTACCAGGACCTAATGTTGGACAAACTGAAATTCCAAAATCTGTAAATGGCGATCAACAGGCTCCATTAAACTACTCGAAAGTCCAGCCTGAAAAAAGAGCATTTCCCATCGTAGACGCGAGTTCCAGTGACATTTGTGAAGAAATTCGCCAGAGAAAATTGGCGCGTATGGACGAACCATTAAATTTGTCTAAACGTGACCAAGATAAAAACAAACCAGTGTCGCCCATAAATGGAAATGTTTCGCCTCGGAATAATTTACAAATGGTTGTTGGAAGCGCGGGAATCTGACTATCAGCGATTTATTAAGAGCACGTGTGCTTTTCTGGAAGTGACGTTTGTACCGTGACATGTATTTATTTCATAAACTGTATTAAATAGGATATGATGTACATAGTACTGTTAATGAAAAAAAGAAGACTGTTTAATTTTTATATAAATGGCTGACAATTAAAATGGATCTACTTTCTCTAGGCGTAGTAACTAGGTGTGGTTAGACAATTGGAGTGATTTAGTAATGTGACAAGTAAATGTAAAGCATCGAATGAGTGTGACTAGGATGTAGTATACCTGTATTATAGCAAATTAATGGCTTGGCTTCAGTGAAATTTGTTTTTGGGTTTGTACAAAAAAAAGAAAAAAACGTTTGTGTCTTAGAAATGCTCCAAAAATACAGTGAATGATATCATTGCTTTTGTGAATAGAATTGTGGCATCGCTTTTTGTGAATTGTAGCATGCTTTTGTTTGTGACTTATAGCAGCGAATATGACAAACATGGCGACTGGGAAATGATATAGTGGTTTATTAACATCCGAGTGCTTCTCTAAATGTTTTGATTAAAACAAAATAAAAAGGGAAATATTATCTTTACAATGTCAAGGTGACACTTTGACTGAACAAGACAACATTGTGGTCTTGGTTTGTGGAGACAGTGACATTGTGCTTAAGTTTTTATGTAATATTGCTTAGTTTGTTATGTACATTTATATATTTAAAATGTATTTATGTATAAAAGATAAATATACAAATATAATATACAATTTAATTTGTTATGGTTATTTTTTGCTATTTTTACTAGAGGGTAAACAACATGTATGACAGGGGGTGGGGGGCAGTGAAAAGTGCACCTTCTAAAGGTATTAACATGCCTTAAAGACCTGTATACACCAAAGGTCTGTTTATTGCATACGGCTTGATGTTTCGTCGGCGATTAACTATTAGACTATACACCCAGAGCGCACACCCCAATCAATGTTATATCCCCAATAATTTTGTTATGAATGTTTAATACATGCGATAAAGATTCTGTATAAGATTGTCTATATATTTATAGAAACAAACTTGAATTCTGTGTTTCAAGATAGACGACGTGAATCTTTCTACAAAACACTTTTATCAGTTGGCAATTCATGCATATATTTATAGGCCAATAAATTATTAAATTGACACCCAAGTAAACTGTCTTCGGCAATAACTATTATTGAATTCAAATTTTGATCAAATAACAATATGGTTATTTCTATTGTACTATATAGAGCTTGGACTATATAGAAAATGAAATGGGATAGGGGTTAACGTCCTACTTTTCTGCACCGACTGGGATAATGAATACGGTGAAATGAAATGGGGTATAACGTCCTACTGTTCCGACTGGGCTAAGCCCTACTCTTATATCGATTTCAACTGCTAAGCGACCTTTTACGTGCACGCCAATGTGTACACGTGACCTCGGTGTATCGTCCCGTCCGAAAGACCAGACGATATGTTAATCCCGAAATGACCATGTTTGTGTCGAGTGCACATTAATTCAGGTGTAATAGTACGCTGACTTTGTCCGGGAGACATGCTAAAGTAACTAGCGTTCTAATAAACATTTCGAAGAGAAATCATACCCTGTCGAGTATACGACACTGGTCACTGCCATAACAAGACATAAATTGGGTGAACACACATAGATCATCGTGAAAATATATAGGTAATAGAAAACACGGATATGTTATACCTATTAACAATTCCTGATGACGGCCATAAAATTTTGCGAATGCAGCTTGTTGGGTTTTAAATATACCTTTCCTCAGTAGTTTGATCGTCGTATTTTTAAATAAAACAAGCATTATATTTCTAAAACCATTAATTACATTACTGAATAGAATACTTCAAATTTCAAATGATATTACTTATATTCCAAATACATTTAGACCGAAGACTGTTTGCTGTTCAATATTTCTCAATATTTAGAAATGAAAAAGAAATCTATTTTCACACACCCTTTAGCTAAACAGACGATAATTTTCTCAAGTTGAAACCTGGGAAAAACATCACGCGCTCTACCTCGACATGAAAACCTGTAAACTTATACCAACATCACAGTTAAACACTCTCGTATAATCTCGTGTTGAATATCCTTACAACTTCCGGTTTAAATTAAATTGTGACCTTTTTTTGAACCCTGTCAAATGAAATGGTTTGTCTGCTTCAAACTGTTGGATGGTTTTGTCAGTTTTATACGCTAATGACATTATTCTATTTCCTTGAATGTCAGGGTTTAAACCTTTTGATAAAATGTACCGTAGTTTGTACAAGTTTTATAAGAGAGGATGAATAGGTGCAGCTAAAGTTGTGTAATTGAGTCGCATAGAATACAAAACCGTGGCAAAATGAAATTACTGTAAGGCCATGTTTGAAAGTATAAATGAATACTTTTATGCGGTGAATCTCATAAATACTATATCACGCAATCGAGCATATAAAAAACCCTGTAATATTATATTGAGTATGTAATACTGGATGTACTTGATATTAAATATGATAAAGATTGAACTTGATATTAAGTAGTCAATAAAAACGTTAGTATGCAGTAAAAAAGTAGTATATAGTAATGAATATACTTGTTGTTATGTAAAGTATTTAACAAAAACTACACTTTATATTAAGTATTAATAAAAACTGCAGTTTATATTAAACATTAATAAAACAAAACTAGACTTTATATTAAGTATTAATAAAAACTGCACTTTCTATTAAATATTAATAAAACAAAACTATACTTTATATTAAAGATACATTATGTAAGAGTTAAATTTGCCTATTGTAGGTCTTTATTTTGGCTTCAAATGTTATGTAAACTATTATGTAGATATTGATTCGCATGCTACGCCTATAATCAACTCTCTAGATAATCGGATGACCGTGATTTACATGGAATAGAACACCCGCGTGACTTAAAACTTTAACGATAAAAAAGTGATAATCGAGACTTGGTCTCGAATGTCAAGAACCGTTGCTACGATTATAAATCATCTACACTACATTTTCAAACAGTCATAACTTCGCTCAGATTAAAGTAATTTGAATGGAATTTCCAACATATTCATTTTTTCAATACCAACTGCAGTATATTAAGTGTGTAATGATAAAGAATATTTGATATTAAGTATTTAATAAAGATAGCGTTTGATATTAAGTATTCGAAATAATAGTGTATTAGGTACGTAATAAAACTGTAGTAGAGATCTACATACACGTGACATCTGGACGGACTATAAAAAAGGTGGTATATACAATATGTAATATAATATTACTGACGATATCAAGCATATGAATTTAATATAGTTATATATACTATGTAACAAGATTATATGTAATAATAGTGTTATAGCTTATGATTACATATTACGTGACACAGACTAGACATGTAATAAAACCCATTATATCAGGGCTAGGCGGAGTTAACTCCCTACCTAATTAACTACATGTAGTTTAAAAAAATGAACTGATTAAAAAATCTTTAACTAGTTAAATTAAAGTTGAAGTTTTAATAAGGAAATTTATCTCTTTGTGAGTTCAGTACGATTATTTTCAACTTATGGACTCGAATATGAACAGAGACGAATGTTAAAGTGACAATATTCCTATGAATTAATTTAAAAAAAATACACATATTATATCGTGGTTATCTAAAAAATTATCATTAAATCTTACAAACATCCACATTTCTCAAATACAACTCTTAAAAACTCTAATTCTTAAATTGGTGTGCTAGCAAATAATGTATGTTTATCTGAATTGTTCGTTTGTTTGTGATTTCTGCGTAATGTGTCTTGTCTATATATTTGTTTTGTGTAAATTATGTGTGGTGCAGTCCCCTGCACTTATACTATTATAATATCTCATGTTATTGTAAGATAAAGGACGGACATAACTTGAAACCATTGTCATTACCGGATATTTACTCTCAGAATTTATAAATAAATTATGTATAATATTCAACTATTAGTGTGATTTAAGACTGATTAATGTCACTTTTTAAAACCATTAAGCTTTTTTGTTAAATATAACTAAATTAGAAAACTTTGAAATGGTAGGGCACTAGCATAGTTGCTTTGGTAACATTCTCTCAAATATTTTCTCAATTTCGCGGAAAAAAAATTGCTAGTATCAGTGATATAAAATTTTCGACTTTAATTTCATTTATTTACTTTAACATGAAATTACTTTATATTTTTTTTTAATGATATTTATTTATGAATATTAGTAATTTTCAATTTCCGCAACAATAACCGTCAAATTAATATTAATATGTTGTTTTTCATTTAATAAAAATAAAATACTTTTCTTTGTAAATTTCGATCCAGCAAGAAGGCGTGAAAAGTCTTCATATAAATCCACCCAATTACCATCTGCCCTTAGTCAACTGTATCGGTTAACACATTTAGTTCTTTATATAAAAAATTCTACTCGTTGTATGGGCCATCGACAAAAAAAATATAATTACGCGCAACGTTATCAATGGTGACGTCACGCTATTGCACGCGGTAACATGAACTTGACCGCTTATCACACACCCGCCAAAACCCGGGATGAAGTCCCGAAAGTTAGAGCCTTGAAGCAAATAAGAATAAACGAAGTAATCAAGCTCTTCTATTGAAAATGAGAGTCATCAATCATTGCGTGAGAGGGGAGTACAATGGAGTCTTGTCGCTAGGGGAGCACGTATAATCCCCAACAAGAGGCTCAAGAACAATAGCACGTTCTCCAATAGAGCGTGCAGCTTACATTCACCCCGTGGCGAATCTGATGAAATTCGACGAGGCGGAAGGATATTAAAGTAGACCCGACTCTTAACACAAGTCGGAATTAATACCCCCTCATTCTTTTTCTTTAATTTCATTTTTCGTGATATCTTTATCAAGACGCCATGGTTGAACGGTTTTGTAATAAACAAGAACCAATGGCGAATGTTTAATACAGAAGTAAACAAGTCTTAAGAGATTTAATACCGTATTGTTGAGGTTAAAATACAAAGATAAAAACTGACCTATTAATGTATTACCACAAAGATAAAACCAAGCATTATTAATCCATTAATGTTCAAGATATTAACATTAAGTTTGAAATAGCCCTTGTCACATTTAATATAATAGTTTTAGTAAGGACAATATCAAAGGAATAACAAAAAGTATTCTGAATAATAAATATGCCACATAATATAATATAAATTGATGAAAAAAAATATGTCCCATAAAGTTATTTTAATGAAAGCATACGTTACTGTTATATATTATGATAATTACTATAATAAATGTCTCTCTTACATTACTTTAAATATATACTTTATATATGAGTGTATGTTCCTACTATATATTTTTAGAATTGACATTATGTTATTTTATGCATGTATGCTTGTACGTTACTACTATATATTACATTATTTGATAAAATAAATATCTCCAACAACGTTATTTTGTACACGTATGCATGTACGTTAACACTATATATTATAATAATCAACATATAATGTCCCATAACATGCGTTAACACTATAATATTATATTAGTTGATAAAATAAATATCTCCAACGTTATTTTCTACATGTATGTATGTACATTACCACTATATATTGTAATGAAATCTCCAACACCATGCACGTATACGTTACCAAGATACATTATAATAATCGACATAATAAAACCTCCCATAACATGCACGTATACGTTATCACTATATTTAACAGTCGACTTAATAAATACCTCCT